AGGAAAAATTTGTGTACCGAATGGAAAAGGCGGGCAAAAAAAATGTTTGATGGAAAAGAGAGGAAAATGGAAAATGGTAAGTGGGGAAAAAGGGGAAGGCTGGATGCAAAGATGCAAAGGGTAAGCAATCGGAAAAGAGGAAAGGGCAAGAATGCGCGATTCTCAAACATTACCCCCTTTGAGAGACCCAAGATTGAAAAAGAAAGTGAAAAAGACTGAGAGAAAGACCCCGCACTGTCACTTTGTCACTTTCAGCCTTTCTCTTCTTTTCCGACAAATGTAAAGTGAAATACAGTGTGCTCCTTTTGCTTAATCTATTTTAGACCCAACTACCGTAAGCTATCCACCGTAAACTATCGTAAGCTATTCTCATTCAAATCTCCTCATTCTCTGATCATTTTAATGTTTTAAACTTGAAACAAAACTGTTAAATGTTAAAGATTTGAAAGAAAATTGATTTTGTTTAATTTTAGCACAAGCACAGCTCGTCACGATGGTGCGGCTCCAAAGGAAAAATAAAAATTCCCTCTGATTGAATAAATTAATAAGAAATTCTAAAAAATATGTATCTAAACATGAAAAACATTCAAAAATTCATTCTTCAAACGATTTTCTATCGGAAATAACCAATTTTCTCAAGTCAAAGCATAGAATCAGCTAAATTTTTGTCATTTTTAGAGCTATGACTGAAAAAGAGTCATTTGCATCAAAAAAAAGATCGATTTTAGCACAAAAAATCATCATAAATCTTTGTCCCAATCTGGTTAATCAAAAACTAAGATCTATACTAAGATAGCTCTATGGAAAAGAGATTTTTCCAAATTTCCAAAGAGAAACTTCAGTTACACAGATAGACTCAAAATTTTTGATCCTAAATCTCTTAGACACCTCCACTTGGTCACGGATTTAATAGAATGTTTCAAAATTGTAAACGGCAGGCAATCTATCCCTCTTTTTCGAGATTTATTCAAAGTTAATCCCACGGTTAGTTCAAGGAGATGTTCTTTCGTTAGAAATTCTTAGTTTTAAAAAATTCCAGTCACCTCCAATAAGTTTGTGAGTAACTCTTTTCTAATAAGAATTCCAATAAGAACTGCCAGAATTTGGAATTGACATCCCAGAGTTTTGAGAGAGTCCAATAGTCTCGAAACCTTTAAATTATCTGTAGATGATCTTGAGATCTTGATCTTGAAGCTCTAGTGGAGCTAAATTTTGTTATTTTTAGACCTAATAGGTTGATGCATAAGTCTTTTCGTTTTTTTCGTACTTCTTTTGAAAAATAACAAAGTCATCAATTAAACTATGGTTTGCTCTAAATGAAAAGTGTTTATTGTTCAATTTCCCATCTTTTTAAATGAATTTCGGTTCACTTTCAAGCAAATTCGAGAGTGAAAAACGCCTTTTTCGTAAAAATCTATAAAAAACTCTACGGAAAAATTGGCTGAATGAATTTCTCTGAAATTTTGGCGAAATATCAAACGTTTTTTTTCTCTATCTTTTATCTATTGACACGAAGATAGGTTTTCTTTAGCTAAGGTGTCTAAACCGCATCATCGAGTTAGCCCTTTTTGACTACCCGACTTCATACTCTCAAGAAAATCCAGGCATTAAATATTTTTAAACCCGTTTTAATGTTATTTTGCAGAAAAATAATTGCTTTTTCTAATGAAATCAACCGTAGTTTAATTGGTGCATTTGTTGGCTTGAAACGGCAGACGAAAAGGAACAAAAACACTTATGCATCAACCTAATATAATATTTTATCACTTTTGCAAAATCGGAAAATTTGGTTTTCAGAAAAAAAAAATTGAAGAAACACCCGCATCTGATTTTTAATGTTAAAAAAAATACCGACTGGGGCTACCAGTGGTGAATTTTATCGCATACACGAAATATATCAATCACAATACAACGACACACAAAATACTAGGCTATATCTTAACTTAACCCACGTCATGACAGACGGCTCCCTAACCCTAAGCTCAATGGGGAACTAAATAGCTTTTTTGGTGGTGAAGGGAAGATGACGATGAAGGAGTGGCTTGTCACTTTAAAGAACTGGGGCCACAACCACCAGACTGCCCTCCAGAAAACCTCTCAACCCGAAGGGAAAGGAAATCCGAAGGGGGTGACCAGGTCGCATGTGGGGTTCGAACCCTCGACCTTCCGATTAAGATAAAAGACACTTAAGTTTTCAGAAAAAAAAAATTGAAGAAACACCCGCATCTGATTTTTAATGTTAAGCTAAAAATCATATGTTTCAATGCTGACGGTTTTGATGCTTATTTTTAAAGAGCAATCATGGTTCGTGATGATCTTTTTCAATATTTATTCAAAGTTAATCCCACGGTAAATTCAAGGAGTGGTTCTTTCGTTTTAGCAATTCCAATCACCCTTTAATAGTCTTGTGTATAACTCTTTTCCAATAGTTATATGCCAGAATTTGAACTGCCAGAATTGCCAGAACTGCCAGAATTTGGAATCGATTCCCTAAAGTTTTGAGAGTCCAATAGTTTCGAAACCTTTAAATTATCTGTAGATGATCTTGAGATCTTGAAGCTCTAGTGGATCCTTGACGTTATCGTTATTTGGAAAAATTGGAACTTTATTGGAACTTTCTTGAAACGAAATTCGTATTGGTTTGTTTCCAAAAGGGTACCGATTTTTGTCTCCGATAAAGCACCATTTTGGCTTCGATACCGTACAAATTTGGTTTCAATAAAATTCCAATTTGTTTCCATAAGGGTACTGATTTTGGTCATAAATAAGGTACAGAATTCGTTCCAATAAGATTCCAGAATCCGATTCGGTTCCAATAGCATCCCGATTTGGTTTAAATAAGGTACCGACTTGGTTCCAATGAAGTATCAATTTGGTTTCAATATAATTTATGATTTCTTGTGCAAGATCGGAAATTTGTTTGTAAAATTGGTTCAAAAATTTGTAACCGACAACCGCTTTAGACAACCATTCTAGACAACCATTTTAGACGACCATTTTAGACAACCATTCTAGACAACCATTCTAGACAACCATTCTAGACAACCATTCTAAACAACCATTCTAGACAACCATTCTAGACAACCATTCTAGACAACCATTCTAGACAACCATTCTAGACAACCATTTTAGACAACCATTCTAGACAACCATTCTAGACAACCATTCTAGACAACCATTTTAGACAACCATTCTAGACAACCATTCTAGACAACCATTCTAGACAACCATTTTAGACAACCATTCTAGACAACCATTCTAGACAACCATTCTAGACAACCATTCTAAACAACCATTCTAGACAACCATTCTAGACAACCATTCTAGACAACCATTCTAGACAACCATTCTAGACAACCATTTTAGACAACCATTCTAGACAACCATTCTAGACAACCATTCTAGACAACCATTCTAGACAACCATTCTAGACAACCATTCTAGACAACCATTCTAGACAACCATTCTAGACAACCATTCTAGACAACCATTCTAGACAACCATTCTAGACAACCATTCTAGACAACCATTCTAGACAACCATTCTAGACAACCATTCTAGACAACCATTTTAGACAACCATTCTAGACAACCATTCTAGACAACCATTCTAGACAACCATTCTAGACAACCATTTTAGACAACCATTTTAGACGAGAACGGTCTAGAAAGCTAAAAAAAACGAGAAAATGGTAAACGGTGGATTGTTGAAAGAATGAATTATATATTTGAATCATATTTCAATCATATTTGACTATTTGCGAGTTTTGTAAACAACAAGAATATGAACTTGAAAATTGTCGGTTAACTTTTGTCGGTTTTCTGAGTATCCAGTTCTCTAGTTTTGAGATACAACTTTTCACTATACATACAAGTCATACAAGATTACTGTTTTTTTAAAGCAATGATGAGAAATATAAACTCAAACATTATTAAAACCTATTAGGTTGATGCAAAAGTCTTTTTCATTTTTTTCGTACTTCCGTTAAAAAGTAACAAATGCACTAATTGAACAACGGTTTATTGCATTCGAAAGGCCAATTATTTTTCTGCAAAATGACATTAAAACGAGTTTAAAATGTCTTATGTCTAGATTTTTTTGAGAGCCTGAAGTCGGGTAGTCAAAAAAGGCGACGACTCGATGATGCATTTTAGACGCTTTAGCTAAGGAAACCAATCTTGATGTTAATAAATAAAAGATAGAGCACAAAAAGTTAGATATCTTTTCAGATTTTCAGAGAAATTGATTCAGCCAATTTCTTTATAGAGGTTTTTATAGATTTTTATGAAAAACCCGTTTTCACTCTCGAATTTGCTTGAAAGTGAACCCAAATTGACTTAAAAAGATGGGAAATTCAACAATAAACACTTTTCATTTAGAGCAAACCATAGGTTAATTGATGACTTTGTTATTTTTCAAAAGAAGTACGAAAAAAATGAAAAAGACTTTTGCATCAACCTAATACATAATAAAGAACATGCCGGTTATGAGTTGAAATAAGCTTTTGAAAGTGTGAAAACTTTAACCACTTCTCTTTGGACGCCAACAAGAGTTGACAACAGACCTCCAGTGATCCCAAATTGCATTAATCCCTTGCTTCTTGTTAGAAGAAGAAGTACTTGCTTCTTGTAAGAAGAAGTACTTGCTTCTTGTAAGAAGAAGTACTTGCTTCTTGTAAGAAGAAGTACTTGCTTCTTGTAAGAAGAAGTACTTGCTTCTTGTTAGATGAAGAAGTACTTGCTTCTTGTTAGAAGAAGAAGTACTTGCTTCTTGTTAGAAGAAGAAGTACTTGCTTCTTGTTAGAAGAAGAAGTACTTGCTTCTTGTTAGAAGAAGAAGTACTTGCTTCTTGTTAGAAGAAGAAGTACTTGCTTCTTGTTAGATGAAGTACTTGCTTCTTGTTAGAAGAAGTACTTGCTTCTTGTTAGAAGATGAAGTACCTGCTTCTTGAAAAATTAAAAGAATAATAAATTTATTTAAAAATTCAACAAAATATGCTCACAATTTGGTGATCAATTTATGCTTGAGAGATTTGAGAAAGCTTTTTTGCTGTTTCGTTAGCGAAACTTTTGGAGAACCCGCTGTCGATGACGAGAACTCGCTGACTTTCGTTGGCAATACCGTTTCCTCAATGAAACAGATTCTAAATGTTTAACTTTTAAATATTCTTTATGAATATTTAATTTCTGAATTTTGCAAATTCCCCCTCACCTCAACAGATTGTTGATCCCGAAAGCGGCACTTGCAAAAACGAAAAGAAAATGCGAAAGAAAAGTGCCGATTGAGGCCATTTGAAATATCGGACGAATGAAAATCGAAAAAATTAGCAAAACGCCGATGAAAAGCGAAGCGGGAAGGAACTAAAATTTTGTTTTTTACATTTCAAATTTCAGTTCAAATTTCACTTCAAATATCAAATTTCATTTAAAAGTTAATTCAGATTTCCAATTTCATTTCAAATTTGAGAGTTTCACGCACGGGAAACCGTTTAGATTTCGTTCAATTTGAAACACGTACTTTTTTAAGTGATCCCATTAATTTTATAAATCTATTCATTTCATAATTTCTTTCATTTCATTTTCAACCTATTCATTTTTAGTTGCTTTTTTTCATTACATAGAGAAGCAGGCTTAAAAATTGAGTTAAAACTTACAAAAAGTGAGCTCTGCGAGTGATCTTGGCTTCGCTCAAATTGAGGCTGAAAGGTGAGGCTGATTTTTGTGGTTGCGCAAAACATTAGCAGTTAAATGTTTTCAAATTGATTACAAATTGAGTAACTTGAAACTTTGAATTCTTAACTACGATGTACCGTATTTTCTCTAATAGTAGTGCACCCCGGAGAGCCGAGTTGGTGACGATTTTGGTGACGATTTTACGGTTTCCAATTTTTCCCAGAAGCTCAACACTCAAATCCCCTACAAGATCTCATCGTCAGCTACTTTTTCCGACCCCACATCGATAGGTTCTGATAAGCGCTTTTCGAGATTTCGAGCAATTTAGGCAACGCTCAGGGTGCACTACTATTAGAGAAAATATGGTAGTTATGTTCCAAGCAGGCAGAAAGACAGGCTGCAGTCAGCTAGCCAGATCTAGAGTCAGCTAGCCAGACCTAGAGTCAACTCTGACTGACGGACACTCAGGGCTTCCTATATGCCTGGCTCAGCTTGAAAGGTCGTGACTGGCTTCCTGATTCATGCTGCTTGTACCTCTCACTAATCCCCCACTAGATCTCATCGTCAGCTACATTTTCCGACCTCACATCGATAGGTTCTGTTAAGCGGTTCTCGAGATTTCGAGAAATTTAGGCGACGCTCTGGGTGCACTACTATTAAAGAGAATACGGTAAGTCTTCAAGCTTAAGACTAATAATTAGATTAGACTTGTAGAGAACTAGGGTTGACAGTAGTTTAAAGTACAGCTTTAAGGGTTAGGAGTACTTTTTGGAGTAATTGGAATAATTACCGTATTTTCTCTAATAGTAGTGCGGTCTTGAGATTTCGAGAAATTTAGGCGACGCTCAGGGTGCACTACTATTAAAGAAAATACGGTAATTACGTGAAAAAATACAAGTTATCATTCTTAAATTAACTTTTTTTTCACATCATTAAAGCTTTCGCTTTTTGAGCTCAAAAACTGATCATTTTTACCTGTTCAGCTATCATTTTGTGCAGTAAAATGATCAAATTCCCGAAAAAGATGCACCCAATCACAACGTAGCTGACGTTTTTGTAGAGATTTCTGAAATTAGGGGAATTAGAAGTGGAACAATTGAGCATCCAAATTTGAAAGATTTGTTTAAATGATTGTTTTTTAAAAACAAACCTGATCATTGGTTCCTCTAGCAAAACCCATGAAAACGTAGCTGACAAAAATTGCGTACTTTTCGTGGCCATAAAGTAAAGAAAAAGAAAAATCGATAAAATGACGATCAAAACTGATAAAACCTGAAAGAAAGGATTCAAATTACTCAATAATTGTTAGGAATTTGCCATAAAAGTGCTAATTTATGACTTAGTCGTTAAGTAATCGTTATTTAATCGTTAAGTAATCGTTATCTAATCGTTAATCGACTAATCGTTAAGTAAAAAGAATAAAATCTGAAAAAAGGGACTAGATTTGAGATTAATTAGGCATAATAAATGTAATTCATTGATTGATTAGGGATTCTTGGATTTGATTTCATTTACTTTAACTTGAAACTCAAGGTTTGTTAATTAAAGTTTATTGCATTAAACGCGTTAAACGTGAAACCAAGTCTACCATTTTACTTTCAATTTTTTCATTCATTAAATTGATAGTTTATTGTTCACTAATAGTTTAATGTTTACCGTATTTTCTCCAATAGTAGTGCACCCCAGCGAGCCGAGTTGGTGACTATTTTACGGTTTCCAAAGTTTTCACAGAAGCTCAACACTCGAATCCCCCACTAGATCTCATCGTCGGCTACATTTTCCGACCCCACATCGATAGGTTCTGATAAGCGGTTCTCGAGATTTCGAGCAATTTAGGCGACGCTCAGGGTGCACTACTATTAGAGAGAAGACGATAGTTATGTTCCAAGCAGGCAGAAAGACAGGCTACAGTCAGCTAGTCAGATCTAGAGTTAGCTCTGACTGACGGACACTCAGGGCTTCCTATAGGCCTGGCTCAGCTTTAGAGATCGTGACTGGCTTCCTGATTCATGCTGCTTGTACCTCTCACTAATCCCCCACTAGATCTCATCGTCAGCTACATTTTCCGACCCCACATCGATAGGTTCTGATAAGTGGTTTTCGAGATTTCGAGCAATTTAGGCGAAGCTTAGGGTGCACTACTATTGGAGCAAATACGGTAGTCTATATGTCGTAGCCGTTTACGAAATTCAGCTATTAACAAATGATTCGTTAGCGGCTAGCCGATGACGAATCATTCGTAAACGGCTAGCCAATAACAAATGATTCATTAGCAGCTGAATTTCGTAAACGGCTACGACATATAAATCGATTGGTCAACAAAATTTCAAATCTTTCAGCAAACTTACAATGCTGAAGCCTGCTTAACAGTCAAATACAATATTAAGCCGACTCTTTTTCCTTAAAATTTCTCTAACTTGAAACTAGAAAATTTCGACTAGAGCTAAATTCAACAAAAATTCTTAACGATTTCATTTCCAGCATTACGAGTGCTGAGATGCTTTTGTGAACAAGCAAAATGAAAAAGTGAAAGTGTATTGAAATTTTAAAGGACTACAGGCCGGTATTTCTGTATTGGCCTTTGAGTGTACCGCGTAAAAATTTGAAACCCATTTTTCAACAATTCACTTTCATTTAAAGAATTTTAAACAAATTGAAAATTTGTTTTTTTTGATTGATTGCTGAATTGATTGTTGAATTGATTGTTGAATTGATTGTTCTCAAAAGAATCTAAGTTTCTAAGTTTCTTTAAAGTTTTCTAGCTTTTCTGTGCAACTTGAAACGCGTTTATTGATGTTTATTGATGTTTATTGATGTTTATTGATGTTTATTAATGATCCTTGTCTTAAGCGCAAACTTTTCCACTTAAAAGCTAGCCTAACTTTTAAGCTTTTAAGCTGTGCGAAAAGCTAACCTAACTTAAAAGCCCAAAAATTTAAACTGGAAATGAAAAGTTTTATATAATCAGATGTAAATCAGATGTAAATTTTAATGTCACTTGATTAACTAATCGTTGTTTTTGATTGTTTTTAGATTATTTGCAAAGCACAAACCGTAAAAACGAGCATGATATCGGCACGATTGGATTGTTTCGTAAAAGTGTTCAAAATCTTCTGCAAAATCAGTAAAGGCACAAAGAGAAGAGTGGCAAACCAAGTGGAGAGCATTATTGAAGAGAAAATCTGGAAAATTTTCATCCTTTATCAAAATCTTTGTTCAAGATCTTTGATCAAAATTGAGACACTGGTGACCAGAAAATCAGCTAACATTCAATTCTTTGAAACTTGAATTTTTTAAAAATCGCGTAACTAGTTTTTAGATTCTAAAGTACCTACCGTAAATACTGTAATAGTACCCCACTGAATTGGAATATTTTGAAGCTAAGTTTCGCTGACTTTTAGATTCAAATTATTTATGCAAATAAAATTCTAACACATTTAAAATTTAAAAACAGAATACTCTTTTTTTTTTACCTCTTTGACTACTTTTCCAAGTTATTTTCGATTAGAATGAAAAAATTTCTGTGACCGTTTGCCCATTTTTGCCCATTTCCAATCCCACCTCAATCCAATCTTGATCCTGTCCCATTAGGGTGATCACAACAGACAATAAATGGATCAACAGTTGCACGATTCCACAAATTCCAAGCAAAACCATCGTGAAGTTGAACGAGCAGCGCTCTTTCGAGCACAACAGACGACTGTGTTGCTAAAAAGTGAGTTTCAAAAGATTCCAATTGGCGGTATAAAGAATTTTTTTAATAAATAGGTTGGAGACACTTTCATCATTTTGCTGAATGTTTTTAATGGGTTTAATTAATTCCTAATTCCTTAACTTCCTTGATAGTTCCTTTATAGTTCTTTTATAGTTCCTTTATAGTTCCTATTTACTTCCTTTATAGTTCCTTTATAGTTCCTTTATAGTTCCTATTAGGTCCTTTATAGTTCCTTTATAGTTCTTTTATAGCTTCTTTTATCGTTCCTATTGATTAACGCCCTTTTTAAAAGGCGCTTATTTTAGACAAAACACCGTAATCCACCCTCCAGTTCTCACTAGATCAGCCCAATTTTTGGTCATCTTATCGCAATCCAAACTACTGTAATCCGATCAGCTTTTTGATCACATTTGATAACGATCAAATGTGACCAAAAAGGAATCAAGGCTCAGATCACAAGGTTCAGATACCAAAATTGGGTTGATCGAATGAAAGATGACGCATGGATTTACGGTAGTTTGTCGAAAATAGATTAGCCAAAAGAACTTTATGTAATTTTTGATTTTAAATCTCTTAGACATCGCGATGGTCACGGATTTAATAGAAGGTTGTAAAGGACAATTTGTTTTTGTTTTCAATTGTAAAGGACAAGCAACCTATCCCTCTTTTTCAAGATCTATTCAAGATCTATAACTAATCTTGTGTATAACTTTTCCAATAAGAATTGCCAGAATTTGAAATCTACTCTCTAGAGTTTTGAGAGAATCCAATAGTCTTAAAGCCTTTAAATCTTTAGATCTTGAGATCTTTGAGCTTGAGCTTGAGCTTGAGCTTGAGCTTGAGCTTGAGCTTGAGCTTGAGCTTGAGCTTGAGCTTGAGCTTGTAAAGTAGTTCTTAAATTCTTAAAGTAAAGCTACATTTGGTATTTCTCTTTTGTAAGTGAGAGAAATGGTGCGGACTCGCTTCAGGGGGTCTCCTGAACCAATGACTGAAGCTTTTCTCCCACTTTCAACCAATAAATCTTTGCTGTGGCTTTACTTTAAGAATCTACATAAAATTTCCTCTAAAATGAGCCATTGTACAACTTTTTTGGTTCGGTAGAAAAATTTTTATAGCCATTTTTCGACCCTAACTTTGGACGGCTATAAAAATTTTTCTATCGAACTAAAAGAGCTGAAATTTGTTCTACGATATAAAATTCATATATTTTGCACATCTTTTCTTTTAGCATCAAGTATGTTGTCTTACAAAAAGCGCTTAAATTCAATCACGAATGTAAGCTATATAAAAGTTTTTTGCTGCCCAAATATCTTCAAAACTTACACAGTTTTAAAATGAAAAAAGGCATTAAATCAACTAGTCATATCAGTGAAAAGCTATTGTTTTTCTTTTAGCTAATCAACTCACGATAATGAATGCGATTTGCGGGAGAAGAAAAAGTACAGCGATCAATGTGGCCCAGGCACAAATCTGCTTATCGTGTGGAGTGAGGGGAATTGGTGAATCGAGGGTTTCCATTCACTGGAAATACGTTGATCAGCTGAGAATAACGTTTTTAACGTTAATAACGTTTTTAAATAAAGGAAATTTGATTTCAAAAAAGAAACAGCAAAGAAAAGCAACAAAAAACAACAAAAAACATAAAAAACAAACAAACAAACAACAAAAAACGAACAAAAAACGAACAAACAAACAAACAAATAAACAAACAAACTAATTCAAAAAACGAAAATACGGTATTTGCAATATGACAGATCTACAGCAGATTCAAGCTTTATGATCTAATTGTAAGATTTAAGGTAATTTCGATGTTCAATTCTAGGCTTCAATTCAATTCAATTCTAAGCTTTAATTCAATTCAATTCTAGGCTTCAATTCAATTCAATTCTAGGCTTCAATTCTAGGTTCAATTCTAGGTTCAATTCTAGGTTCAATTCTAGGTTCAATTCTAGGTTCAATTCTAGGTTCAATTCTAGGTTCAATTCAATTCAATTCTAGGTTCAATTCTGGGTTCAATTCTAGGTTCAATTCTAGGTTCAATTCTAGGCTTCAATTCAATTCAATTCTAGGTTCAATTCAATTCAATTCTAGGCTTCAATTCAATTCAATTCTAGGCTTCAATTCTAGGTTCAATTCTAGGCTTCAATTCAATTCAATTCTAGGTTCAATTCAATTCAATTCTAGGCTTTAATTCAATTCAATTCTAGGCTTCAATTCAATTCAATTCTAGGTTCAATTCTAGGTGATTCCGATGTTCAATTCTATTCTATTCTCTCTAATAGCAGTCAAAAGTCTCTCTAATAGCAAACAAACAAATTCAAAGTTTCAAAATTAATCGCATCCTGCTAAATGCGATGGTCTGATGGTTTGATTTTTAGCTTTCTTTAGCTTTAGCTTGAAAGAAACACTCTTTTAGCATTGAATTTCGTGCCATTGTGCTAAAATTCTCCGATTTAAGCACTTAAAAGCAGCTCAGCAAGCCTTTGTTTCAGAAAAGGAAAAAGCAGCTCAGCAAGTCTCTGTTTCAATATGAACGACTTCGACTTGATTGGATCAACTTTAATATTCCCAACGACTACGATTGAATCAAAAATTAATCAAATATACTCAAAAACAAAGCCTCATCACTTACCTTTTAAAGAAAACGGTTACACTTTTTAGAAGATAAAAGATAATGGATAAAAGATGAAGGATAAAGGATAAAAGATAAAAGATAAAGAATAAAAGATAAAAGACAATTTCCCTTAATCCTCTCTCATATCTTGTGTTGAAAAGATCTTTTGTTCAAAAGTGATCTCATTTTTTTTTCCTTCAATTGAATGATTCAATAGACAGGAACGCCTCCAGATATTGAAAAAAATTGGAAATAAATTTTTTCTGGGAAAGATAGATGAGATTTAACTTTTTGAGAAGATAGGGAAATCAAAAATCAAAGGAGAAAATCGTCTTGAATGTTTGAAAAAGTTGAGTTTCAAAGAATGCAATCTTAAAGCTTTGTCGCTACTTTCAATTTACAATTTATATGTCGTAGCCGATTATGAATGAAATTTTTTGGTAAATCTTTCTAGTAGAGCAACCCTTTAATGTATGAGGACAATATTATATCATCCTGTAGCGAATTAAATTCTGCGTCGATTGGTACCAAATTTGTGAGTTTAGGTTAAAAATTACCGGCGCTACAACGTAAATTAGAGCAAAAAAAACTGTTTGTTCAAGAGGAAACTTTGAGGCCCCATAATTTTCTTTCTTTTTACCCAATCTTTCTAATTTAAAAAATTTAACATAATTATTAATGATTCTGCGTTGAATGATACCAAATACTTGATGGTTGGACGCGTCCGGATCCGCTCATTCATAATCGGCTACGACATATATAAGGATGGGTTTCAATTTAAAGGGTGACCAAGAACACGCAAAAGGCCTGGCTTTTAACCAAATATGCAACCCATCTCCCAAAAGTTAAATGAAATATCGTTATTCAACATATAATGTAGATAAGGATGGGTTGACCAGGAGTGGATCGGTTAGCCAGGAGTGGATCGGTTAGCCAGCACCAGGCTTGTAAGCACCAGGCTTGTAAGCACCAGGCTTGTAAGCGGAGAATTGAATATCATTTGTTTTTCAAAGCAAAACCCATAGAATGGGGCAGCTACGCGGAAAAAGGCCGAAGAAAATTGCTGTAGCTGCTGGATTTGATAATTTTTTCTTTGAAAATTAAAGATATTCAATTCTCCGCCGTTTCTCCGCTACCGCTTCCAAGCCTGGTTATGGTACGCTTGCTATGGTAGCATTACGATTAGCCGATCGTAATGCTACCATAGCAAATCAGTTAGCCGATCGTAATGCTACCATAGCTAATCGGTTAGCCGATCGTAATGCTACCATAGCAAGTCAGTTAGCCGACCGTAATGCTACCATAGCAAATCGGTTAGCCGATCGCATTACCATTATATTGTAGCTTTATGTGTTTTTTTTTCTTTCTTTCTTTTTCTTTCTTTTTCTATCACTTTAAAAATCCTAGCGTTTTAAGCAAAATTTGTTTCGAGCCAAACGGAAATGTTGGTGCGCAGCGCAAGCGCAAGCGCACGCGCAGCGTAAAGCAATTTGCGCTTGACTTGGCAAAGGCTTGGCAATTTGCGAACTACAATTGACGCTTGACTCTACAATTACAATATTGTCTTACTTTTTTCTTTAAAATTTAGGGGGGTTTGCTCCCAAAAAAAAAATTATTTTTATAAAAAAAAAAAAAAAAAAAAAAAAAAAAAAATAAAAAATAAAGATAAAAATAGAAAAATAATAAAGATAAAGACATGTTTCAAGTTCAACAATCTTTAAAACCTTTTGGAAATTATAATTTCCTTGCCATACCTCAAAAACCATCTTACTTTGATTTCCAAGATTCAAAAATCAAATAAAAAATTGAAACCAAACATTTTTTGAGTACGAGCCCCGAATTGGCACTTCTAAAGTTGTTATTGGTCGCCGTTTTTATTGGAAGAGATCGTTCTCGCGGTAATGATTTGAAAAATGAGGAAAGCCTCAAGAGATCGGAAAAAGGTGAACGGAAATGAAATCAAAAAAAGTTGAGCACTTGTCATGAATTAGAAATCAGAACAATCTTCGATCAAGTCTTGCATGAAATAGCAAAATCAGCAAGCTAATGTTACTTGGAAAATGAAAATCAGCAAGCTAATGTTGCTTTGAATGAATCAAATAACTTTTATAACTTGAAAGGAATCAGATAAAGATAAATATTGTGTTGTCCAGTTGTGGATGCGCGTTTTTACTATTTTGTAAATTTCTCAAGATATCGAACAGATGTATATGAGTGTTATATATCATTCGAAAGCTGAAGATCTCCTCTACATTTTGATATAAAAAGTTTTTGAATTCATTCAACTTTTTGGGAAATTGACTGCACAAAGGGAGAGGTCGTTTTCGAAAAAACCCATTCCAGCTTAGCTGTTCCTCAAGTTTTATGGTGTAAAATAACCGCCCAGAAAAGAAAAGAAAAGTAAAGATGCTCTGAAATTGTTATATTTTTTAAAAAAGTTGTATTGATATATCTATTGGCCAAACAGCAAACGGTTAACTCAATTTGAGAGGAGCCAAAACTTGATCCAAAGGCACCCTTCCATTTTTTGGCCACCTCTTCTTCTGTGCAGTCAATTTGCCCAAAAGCTGAACAAATTAAAAAACGTTTTTATATCAAAATGTAGAGGAGATCTTCAGCTTTCGAATAATACTCATATATATCTTTTTCTCGATTTCGGTATCTTGAGAAATTTACAAAATAGTAAAAGACGCGCATTCATAACTGGACAACCCAATAAATCAGATAAAGATAAATAAATCAGATAATCAGATAGTAACTTAATTTTTTATTACAAAATTCCGAATAACAACATTGTGACCTTAAAAAAAAGGTGGAAACTTTCCTCAATAAAGTAGAGTTTCAAATTTACTAATTAGCAAAAGCTATTGCAAAAAAGAATTCACTGTTTATTGCTGATTGTCGTGACAAAATACTTTCATTGATTTTACTTCTTTAATCGGAGAAACTCTTTTGATGTTTAAAACAGTTTGATCAGTCCAATTTTGTCCAGTCCAGATTCGATCAGTCCAATTTTGGTATTGCTTTAAAAAGGAATCATCAGATCTGGATTAAACTTTGGCTCATTAGCGACAGATATTCAATTACCATTGAGATAAAACTTCAGAGAAAATTAGGGTTTAGGTTGTTTAGGAGTCAGAAGTGAGAAGTTAGAAGCCCTGATACTTACCGATCGAGAGTTAGAAGCGCTGATACTTACTGACCGAAAGTTAGAAGCGCTGATACTTACCGACTGAAAGTTAGAAGCCCTGATACTTACCGATCGAGAGTTAGAAGCGCTGATACTTACCGACCAAAAGTTAGAAGCGCTGATACTTACCGAAACAGCTGCAACTGTGAATGAGCCAACTTTGATACTTTGAAACCCTCAAGAAAAAAAAATCTATCAGCTTTTAAAAGCAAGTCACAAAATTACGGCAATTGTTCTCTCCACACAGAGCTGTGTCTTTCAATAGAATCACTCTCTTTTCCCGTCGAATTTCCCCGACAAGACTCCGAAAATACAATCAAAGCAAAAAGCTTTGAGTCAAAAATATCTCGAATAGATTTTAAAATTCAAAAATTGATGCCAAAAACTGTAATTTCACATTTAAAACATTGCTCTTTTCATCGAATTCTATAATTTCAACATCAAAAAAAGGTTTTGAATCGTCAGAAGATTTTCAATAGACACCAAATATCCTCAAAAAAAAAAAAATGGTATACAAAAGCTTTTCAAGTGTCCAATTGTCCAATTTTAGATTTTTTCCCCATCAGTCCATAGAAATTTCCTCGCTTAATTGCTCTCCTTTTAATCCCATCTCTTTTTCAATATTTGTAGCCATTTTTTTTCGTTTATTTGAGTGAAAAAATGACGTGTGATTTGACTGGCTGGCTGAGATTTCTGGTCGTCGAAAGTTCGTCGAAAGTTATTGGGTTGTTGAATTGCAAACTGCCGGACTATATGGGTAATTCAGGTAAAAAGTTACCGTGATCTTTCTCTCAGATCTCTCAGATCTCTCTAGTAAACGTAATTTTGATCTTATAGGAAACAAATTTTGAATAGAATTGAATCAAAGTTAAGTAAAACCGACAACCTGGAAGAAAGATTACGATAACTTTTCATAGCTTTTCCAAATCCTTTTAGAGAACGCGTTACGAGAAACACAGTATGCATAAATAAAAGTATTCAATAGATCGACTGAATATCTTTTCAAGTTAGCTAAAGATATTGGGTTGGTGAATTGAAAACTGCGGGACTTCGAACTAAACTTTGAACTAAAATTTATTCAACATAAAACCATCAATTCATTCCAAATAATTTCCATTATTATTGACGACTTCTGCCCATTTTACAGGCAATTTGGGGATTCTTTCGTTGTAGGATTTTGGTTTTGAATCGAAAAACTTTCAAAGCCAATTTTTGACTGCTTCTTCCGAATCGAAGTGTTCTCCCGCAAGTCGTCAATAATAATGGAAACCATGGGGCACCTAAGCCCCAAGTTTCGATTTAAATCCAAGGGTATGAAGGTACCTTAGCAGTGTAGCATGACCAACCCCTAACTCTTCTCCCAATTCACGCGATGACACCCGATGGTCGTTGGTAATGAGTTCGAGTAATTTGGAATCATCCAGTTGGGGTTCAACATCATCGATGTTGATGATGTTGAACCCATTTTTCAGGCAATCGATTCCTCTTTCGTAGTAGGATTTTGGTTTGTGTGTGAGACTCAAAAATGGAGGACTGGAGATGTTACAGTTTGTCCAGTTTGAGCACTTTCTTCAAAAGAAACCCATTTTGGTGTCAATAGAAAAGTTGTAGAGAATCAAAAATGAGGCTTATAGCCAAATTTCCAAAAAGAAACACTTAGTAGTTTCGCTTAAAATGCAAGTTTTGTTGCAAGATTTGTGAAAATTCGTAAATTTCGCATTTCTTGAAAACCAGTTTTTGAATCGTTCTGAAAATTTGGATATAAGCTTGATTTTTGATTCTCTACAACTTTTCCATTGACACCAAAATGCGTTTCTTTTGAAGAAAGTGCTCAAACTGTCACATATGACAATGGCCGGTAGTTTTCAATTCACCAACCCAATATTTGCAAAAATTTTCTCAAAAAACAACAATAAATAATTTATCGCGTAACAAAAAAGACATAATACAATAACCAGAAAAGTGGGTAATTTTTTAAAAATCTACAAATCTACAAAAATAGGAAAAAAATTCTGAAAACGCGGCTTTCAAAATACATTTTTTGCTTAAAAATGTTCTCTTGTTTCAGAATTTTCAAAAATTATCAAAAAAATTTAATCAAATCTACCCATTTAAAGGCAAAATATTGTATTTTTAATGATATTGTCTCAATATAGTATACCAGAATGAAAGTAGTTAGACTTTGATAAAATTACAAGTGAAGATCTTTTGATTTCTGTTTTTATTTGATTTATCCATCACTTGAAAAAAAAGGCGTGTTTCAAAAAACTCCATTACTTTGTTGAGCTCAGAATTTAGCTCAAAAAAGCTCCAAAATTCAGCAAAGGATGGGAGATTTTGATCAAAATTAGCGGCTTTTAGCTTTATGTTCTGTTTACTTGAAAGTTACTTGTTTACTGTTATCGTAAAGTATTTTCTTCTTCATTTCTGCATTTTCTTAACCGCTTCCCTTTCTCTTTCTATCGTAATCTTGTTTATTTTCTTTCAATCTTTTCACTTTTTATATCTTTCGATATTCTTTGTGAACTCTCACAGAATCAGACAAAAAAGTGAATAGATTGGATAAAAATGGAGACAGGATTACGGTAGAAAGAGAATACGTTTTAGGATACGTTTTATAAAACGCTTTAGAAAACACTTTACTCAACTTTTTCCCGGCTTACTGTAATGAGACAGGTGCTAAAATTTCAATAGATCATTAACTTCAAAGTGTTATCGTTAAAGAAACTAACATTACCCTTTAATAATTGAGTTGGGTAACTAAACCAGGGCATTTTCCTGGTTTAGTTACCCAGGTTTTGTTACCAGGCCCTGGTTTAGCTACCCAACCAGAAAATAGATCAATTTTTCAAAAATCACAAAAAAAATCGATCACACAAACAATAATAAAACAAAATTTGAAAAACGAGAAATATTTCCGTAGAAGGTGGCCGTTTTTTTGAAGAGACTCGTGTCGTAAGAAACCCGCTAGAAAAAATGGGAAAATTTCTAAAAGTCTACAGGGTTATCCAGGATTACGAGAACTAAGGGTATCTTTGATATTGCTTTTGTCTTTCTTTTCGTTTACCGTATTTCTTCGAATAGGAGACTTCGAATAGGGTAAAGAGTATCATAGCGTACTCCTGCGTAGCAGCCCTTTTTAAAATTTCTTTTCTGCATAAAAGCTTTCAATCAAGTGCTATAGAGCTGGAAAATGGCTCAAAAATCTGTTGGCTCATGTGGTATTTTTGAGTCATTTTCCAGCCCTATAGCACTTCATTGAAAGCTTTTATGCAGAAAAGAAATTTTAAAAAGGACTGCTACGCAGGAGTACACGATGATACTTTTTACCGGTCTTCTATTCGAAGAAATACGGTATTTTATTTATTTAATACAAAAGCATGCTCGAAATCCCATCCAACCGTCACTTCTTTGAAGGAAGCCCTTCAGAAAGCTTGGGACCCTCACCACGCGTTTCCCCAAACGCCCCCAGCCCCGCGTTGCCGCAAAAGGGAGATCTTTTCGAAAAAAAGTAAATTTTTATGTTAAATTATTGTATTAAAATAAATTTTTGTTGTTTTTGGTGTCAGATTTAATGCAAGATGGTCTTTAAATCCTCAAGTTCTTTAGTCCCCGTAATCCTGGACAACCCTGTATAAGCAAATTTATAAATGGAAAATCTAGTCAAAAAAAGCCTACCGTAAATACTGTAATAGTACCCCACCCCCATAATGGCGGTGCGGAGTGTTTCGGTTCCTAATTTGATCTAATACGGTTCCAATACGGTTCCTATTTTGATCTATTACGGTTCCAATAGTGTTGCGTAGTCTAGCTTTGAACGAGTTTTTCCCGACACTGGTTTATGCTACAATGCGGGCTTAGATATCAAAAAATAGCTGAAATTCAGGGCTATTTTTTGATACCAAAGACGCATTTTTTGAAAGTACGGGCGCTTTGAAAAAAATGAAATACTAAAAAACTTTTGCGACTACGCGACTGTACGAGGGGGGTGGGGTACTATTACAGTATTTACGGTAGATCGTCTATATGAACAAACAATATCCATTCACGTTTATTTATTAATATGTTGATAAAACTCTAATGGATATTGTTAAAATCGACTAAAAGTACTATGTACACTAAACCGGCTAAATCCTTAAAAATCAAAACAGAAATTACAAAGCATAGCTGTAAATAATGATGTGTTAAAAGACTGGGGTTTTTTTGCTTATTTACAGCTCAAAAAAAGCTCGGAAATCTTCCGACAATTCCTATTGAATCGATACAAGTTAACCAAGCTTTTTTCGAAGAATTTCTTTTGTTTCATCAATGGATTGAAACTTCTGGTTAACTGATATCAAAAGTCGGGAAATCTTGATAAAGTATATACCTTTCTCTAAACGGGCGGCTCGGAAAAGGCTCGGCGCTCGCTGTGTCGAATGATGACTTGTTTCTAAACAACGGGAGATTTTGAAAAGCAAGTGATCTGTTTGATATTGAGATTAATATATTAACGATAGTTTTAAGAAGACTGGGCTATTGAGGATTTGCATAGCTTTTCGCTGATAAGCTGTACAGCTCTCTGAAGCAGGATGTTCAAACTCCGAGTCAGGTCAAGTCTTTGAACATCCTTGAGTAAAGTATAAGGTATTATTTGGGCTGGGTTAAGTGTCGGTATAGCTTCGGTAGTGGCAAGCGATAGGTCGCGGGTTCGAATCCCGGCGCCGAATGTTTTTTTTATTCTCAGTCTCAACCCATAAAAGGACCGGTTAAGTCTTCCCAACTCTCGGCCAAGTCTTGGGAAATCCTTAGCTCCTGGGTTATCTGAACAAAATTTCAATACCTGTAATGACTCCTGCAATGGGGTAACTGCTTGATGAAGGGCTCGCATTTGCTCGTCAAATTCCTCTTTCACTGAGTTCAGCGTTCGATTGAGAAGCTCCTAAATTTTGTGGTCATTACTAACACCAAGCAGAAATGAAACATCACAAATTTGAAACTACAAACCCTATAATGCCTATAGAACTTGGTTTAGCGGCCCTAGTAACTAGCCAACGCAACAGAAAATCCGTTTTTATCTTATCATCTTTTATTTTTATTACTGTTTAGTTGCACTCAATGAACTTACAATTCCTGTGATCGCATCAGCTTCTGGGTGCTTCTCTTTGATCACTTTCTCCAATCGTAGTCGTGTCTCCTTTTCGCGTTTCAACTCTTTCTCTAGTCGAGCGCGTTCATTTACCATTAATCGTTCCTAGAGTTTGAAAAGTTATCAATTATTTGATTGAACTCTACCTTTGCCGCTAGTTTCTTCTCCATTTCTTCGCGATCTCTCCTCCAAAGAATTTCCCGACTCCGCGACGATTGGACATCGCTTTCGTAGCGTCTAAAGTTTAAAAACTGCTACCATTACTAGAGTGCATGCCTCGTTATTAAATAATTGAATAAATTTCCATAAACAAATTTACATAAGCCTTTTTGAACCTTTCTGATAGTCTTTTAGAAAGTGCACTAAAGAGGAAAACATTCTAGTCATTACCGTTTTATTTTACAAGCCTAAAGCATAAAACATCAAGAGTAAATTTGTTTCTATCAACTGAACATCACTTACTTGAGCTGCTCCCGACTCAATCTCAACTCGTGCTCGTTGATCTCGGCTTCTCGTTTAATGCTCTCCATTTTCCTCAGCGCCTCATCTTTCTCTTCGATTATTCCCCGATTCTTGTCGATCAACTCCTCACACTTTTTGAGCAAAATCTAAATGAGAAATAAAAAAATCACATATCACAAATTTATTCAAATAGAAGCAAATTTGGGGGGTGGCAACTTTGCGTCAAATTTTTTTATGCAACTGGGTCTTTTGCGCCATAACGTTCTTCTAAATGGGTCAATCTTTATGTTTTTGATGTCATTTTGTAGATCTCAACAAGTGAAACAGAATGAAACATAAAAACTACAAAACAACTATAGTCGAATTTTTAAAACAGGTAAACGCATCAAGGGAATCAAATAGCGGGCCGACTTGGAGCTGGAAATTCATCAGAATCCAAAATTTTCGTCCCCGAAAAGCTTTTACAAAAATCCCCGCCAAAAGACCGCCAGTAGAATTTATCCACGAAATAGTTTCCTCCATTTTGCTGATTAGTAGTAAATTTGGGAAATTAAAGGGTGCTTTTTGTTTATTACCGTTTTTCTGGATTTTAAGAAGCTTCTATGATAAACAACGGACGGGGCGTGGCTACTTTGCGTCAAATTTTTTACTCAACTGGATCTTTTGCGCAACTCGCCATAACTTTCTTCTAAGTCAGCCAATATTTATGTTTTTGATGTCATTTTGTAGATCTCAACAAGTGAAACAGAATGAAACATAAAAACTACAAAACAACTATAGTAGAATTTTTAAAAACAGGTAAACGCATCAAGGGAATCAAATAGCGGGCCGACTTGGAGCTGGAAATTGATCAAAATCCAAAATTTTCGTCCCCGAAAAGCTTTTACAAAAATCCCCGCCAAAAGACCGCCAGTAGAATTTATCCACGAAATAGTTTCCTCCATTTTGCTGATTAGTAGTAAATTTGGGAAATTAAAGGGTGCTTTTTGTTTATTACCGTTTTTCTGGATTTTAAGAAGCTTCTATGATAAACAACGGACGGGGCGTGGCTACTTTGCGTCAAATTTTTTACTCAACTGGATCTTTTGCGCAACTCGCCATAACTTTCTTCTAAGTCAACCAATATTTATGTTTTTGATGTCATTTTGTAGATCTCAACAAGTGTAACAAAATGACACCAAAATCATAAATATTGGCTGACTTAGAAGAAAGTTATGGCGAGTTGTGCAAAAGATCCAGTTACGCAAAAAATTTGCTGCAAAGTAGCCACCCCCAATTTTGTGGTGGTGATTGAAAAATAAAAGCCCAGCCTCCAATAGAAGCAATAACTATAGATATTTAGCTTAGTGGACTGAATACCCTGAGTTTTGAGCTTTTAAGCATATATAAAGGTATATAGCCATTGATGAACTGCTTAAAAATCATTGCTAAAGTTCATTATTGCTTAATCAGCAGCATTTTCTTGCATTTTCTTGCATTGCTTACGACATTTCGATTGAAATCAGCGACTCTAACGGTAATGAAATCAAGATTAATGCTTTTTTTGACGATTGAATTATTTTTCATTGGTTTTCTTTCTAGGTTTTCTAGGTTAAAGGTTTTCTTTCTACAAACTACTTCATCAATTCTTTTAGTCATTGAAAAAGAAAAGCGCAGCCTCAAATAGAAGAAATTTTGTAGAATGATTGAAAACTAGATTGAAAACTAGAAGCACATGCGCTTCTATTAGAATAAATACGGTAATCGATTAACTAATATTGACAGCTTCCATTCTTCACTTTCATCTTCTCAAAGTTGAAACTTTTCATTAACCTTTGAAAATTCAACAGAAAGCTTTAAATTTTAAGATGAATGTTGGGTAATTTTGGCTTACTTACTTACTTACTTACTTACTGGTTTACTTACTTTACATTACGCCAACCAACCTCATTTCGACCCCGCAAAAACTCCAATTCCGATTGAGCAGCTTCGACTTTCTCATCGGAATCCTAGAATTGATGTTTTTTTTGTTGGTTTACTCAAGTTTTAAGATTCAAATCTTGTTAATTTTGTTTACATTTTGATTCATTTCAAAAGTCTCACCTTTGCTTTTTGTTTTGCCGCTTCGCGTTCTCGCTCCGTTGCGGTTACTTTATTTCGTAGGGCATCCAGTTGTGATTTTGTTCCAGCTTCTGCCTAAATTTCTAATAATATTCTTTCTAAAATTTTAATATTCTAACAAATTCTTTTTTTTCGTTAAATAAACCTTTCCCTAACCTTTCCCTTTCCTGGAAAACAAACCTTTCTAATATTCTCGACTTCAGTCGTTTTCCGAGTGGCTAGCTGTGAAGCTTTATTCAAATCGTTTTTCAACTTCATCTTCTCGTCATGAACATTTCTAAATTGAAAACAAAAGTGAGACTTTTGTCTTTAAACTTTAATCAAATCAAATCAAATCAAATTTCCATTCAAAACTAAAACAAACCCAAGTTCAGCTTCCATTCCCCGAAGCCTTGTGTTAGCCGTGTTCAACTCCTCAGTCAATTTTCGAAGCTAAACAATTCTTTAGTTAAATGTGCTATTTCTTAAGCTACATATGAAAATAAAGAAAATGAAGAAAATGAAGAAAATGAATAAAATTACTCGTTCTTCTTGTTGATTCGATTGTTCGAGTAAAGCTGACACAGATGTGGTGAGTCCCATTTTGTTGATCGCCGGATTGATGTAAACTTTCCCAGTACTCGATGAGGTTCGAGTTGGAGAACGAGTGCTAAATTGTTTCAAGAATTTCATTTCCAAATCAATTCTGATAGCTTTTTACCATCCCTTATCCAGTGAAACTTTCGATTTACCTGATTAAGATTAAGAAAGAAAAAAAATTCACTGTTTTGCGCACTTATTTTCTCACCAGCCGAAAAATTAGCGGCGGGTTTATCTCGCTAAATTATGAGGCCCTCCCCGCTGTCCCCGGAGCGCGCTCGTCTATAGCCCACACGATCCGGGTTCAAGTCCCCGTCGTGCAGCTCAGTTTTGACTGCTCCAACATGCTTCAGTTGAAACAAGAAATAAATTTTGAGAGATTTTCAAGTCACTTTTCGCGCAATTATTTTCTTGCGCAATTTGCGGAGGCGAAAAACTAGCGGCAGGTTTATGTCGCTAAATTATGACGCCGTGACCGCTGTCCCCGTAGCGCAGTGGAGAGCGCACTCGTCTACAGCCCCCAAGATCCGGGTTCGAGCTCCGGTCGTGCGTTTGAGTCTTGATTTTTAAAATTTTTATACTGAATGACATAACTACATTATATTTAAAGACCTTTTAAAAAATTTTAGCTTTTTTGGCTCAAAGACGGCTGAGAAAAGGCTCTTACAGACGGATGGACGAATATAGAAGTTAAGAAGTTAAGTTATGTAGAAGTTAAGCAAATAGCTAGGATAATCGTGGCTTTTTATAACTTTGATCATTTTAGAATAAATTGGTATTAAATCATCTTTTTCTTTAGTAATAATAGTTATAATAATTCTAATAGAAGAATTACAATATTTAGAAACTTTCACGGTGCTTTCAAACTCTAGAAATCGCTACTTGGAACAAGAAAGCTTGTTTCAACACAGTGAACAAAAATTTCTATGGTTTTCTCAGCTTATTATCGTTTTAAACTTTAAAGGTCAAACCGGCTTCTCCTTCTTCTGTGCTTTCGATCTCTTCTATCGCGATCACGAGATCGAGATCTGAAAATAAACTGTACTTGCCTCAAAAGCTTTAAACCTTCTCCTTTTCCTCGAGTCTCCGCTTTTCCTGGGTTTCTCCTCATCTGAACCATCCGATGGCGTTTCGTACTGAAATTGAAATTGTACTTTGTAGAAAGAAAGAAAGAGAAAGAGAAGAAAGAAAGAGAAGAAAGAAAGAGAAAGTGAAGAAAGAGTTAAACTTATAAATCAAGCCAGGTTAGAGCCAGAAGCCAGGTCCAGGTCAAGCAAGGCTGAGCCTGGTTCAGGCCTGGCTAGTTCCTATGATCCATACCTTTGTCTCATACTGAAACCTTGTAAAGCCAGACAAAAAGCCGTTCTTTTCTGGCCAGTCAGCAGTAAAGCCGGACCAAAGCTGAACCGGCAAGGTCAGCAGTTTTGTAGCACCCTGATAATGAGCAATCAACTTACCACAGCGTATTCACTATTCGCAAACGGATCCTCGGGTTCAGTATCGTGTTTTTCTGCTGTTTGTCGAATTGGAGCCGGTGTAACGCTTGTTGTTGGCGGTGGTTTTGTGGCCGGGTTGAAAAGAGGTCTTGTCTGAAAACACGGAAATGCGTTTAGGTTTAGATTTAAACTAAACTGGCTTATGATATCCACTGTTATGCTATCCATTGTTATGCTATGCACTATTATGCTATCTTAAGCCTAAGCCCTAAGCCTAAGCCCTAAGGCCTAAGCCCTAAGCCTAAGCCCTAAGCCTAAGCCCTAAGCCTAAGCCCTAAGCCTAAGCCCTAAGCCTAAGCCCTAAGCCTAAGCCCTAAGCCTAAGCCCTAAGCCTAAGCCCTAAGCCTAAGCCCTAAGCCCTAAGCCAAGCCCCAAGCCTAAGCCCCAAGCCCAAGCCCCAAGCCCAAGCCCTAAGCCTAAGCCCTAAGCCCTAAGCCTAAGCCCTAAGCCTAAGCCCTAAGCCTAAGCCCTAAGCCTAAGCCCTAAGCCTAAGCCCTAAGCCTAATAAACAATACCAATTTTCAGTTTTTTCAGTTTTGCAAATTTCTTCGCTTAGCGATAAGTGAACTATGTTTGCTATATACCATTCAAAAGCTGAAAATCTCTTCTACAATTTAGTGGAAAAGGATTTTTGAGTCGCTGAAGATTTATTGAGTTTTCATTTAGTTTTCTCAAATAGGTGCCTTTTAGCCGAGGTGTCTGATGACTGACGATCTCGTTTTTCTCCAAGCCTTGCAGTGTCTCCAAAAATTTGTAAACCCATCAAATCACTCTAGCCGGGTGATTTTTATTCTTTTTATAATAAAATCAGCGATATTAAAATAAAAAAACAGGTGGTTGCCGTAAAAAAAATTTTTATCGTCACCCGGCCGCGATTAATACCCCCCTTTAATAATTTTTGTTATCAAAGCAAATGTAAAGTAATAAACTTTGACCCGAATTGATCAGATTGTTTTTTTGACTCTTTTACTAAAGAGTTTCGAATTTGGCAAACAAGCAAAAAAAACGACAATGAAAACAGCTCGTGAACTACTAGTAAGCTATTTCTAAGCTATTTCTAAGCTATTTCTAGCGATTTTCTTTTAAATTTTTCTATTTTAAGCTTTCAAAGTCTTGAAAATAAACCTGTTGAAAGTTTTGCGGAGGCGCTGAAATGTTTGTGGATAGAAGACTTCGAATGGGTGGAGCCATGGAGACAGTTGTTTGAATCGTTTGCATTGATTGCATTGGTGGAATGCGGCTTGTTGGGGGCATTTGTTGCATTTGTTGCATTTGTGGCATTTGTGGCATTTGTTGCATTGATGGCATCAAATTTTGCATTTGTTGCATTGGCATTTGTTGGATGGTCGGTGGACGAGTTTGAAGGAATGTGGAGGGTGGAGGCTAAAATAGAATACCATGTATACCGATAAAATACCGACTACGCAACGCTCCGCTAGGCATGTTATACTATTAGAAATACGGTAAGCTTTTGACATTGGACAATTGGCTTGCTTTGGCTTTGGCTTGCTTCGGCTTGGATTGGCTTGCTTTGGCTTGGATTGGCTTGCTTTGGCTTGGATTGGCTTGCTTTGGCTTGCTTTGGCTTGCATTGGCTTGCTTTGGCTTGCTTTGGCTTGCATTGGCTTGCTTTGGCTTGCATTGGCTTGCTTTGGCTTGCATTGGCTTGCTTTGGCTTGCATTGGCTTGCTTTGGCTTGGATTGGCTTGCTTTGGCTTGCATTGGCTTGCTTTGGCTTGCATTGGCTTGCTTTGGCTTGCATTGGCTTGCTTTGGCTTGCATTGGCTTGCTTTGACTTGCTTTGACTAAGCTTGTTAATTGAGCACAACAAATTCTTTTGTTGACTATGCTGGGATTCGAACCATTGACCTATTGTTTATCGGGCAAACCATCTGCCAATAAGCCACACGTATCCCAAATCCCGTTACAATACTGTTAAAGTACGTTACAAATATTGACTTGTTTTAGTAAGCCTTAAAATTTGTTTAACATAATCTTTGACGTGTTTCAAGTTGATCAGCTTTGATTTCGCTAGGTCTAATTTAATGTTTCCAACTTTCGTTGGCTATGTGGAGTCGAAGTGAGTCACGTTTGGATTTATTTGATTTAATGCTTTGGTTTATTTGGTATGCTACTCATAAGACTTAGAAATAACCTTAAGAAGTAAGACGCGTTCAAGCACATGCTTATTAGCCACCCTATAGGAGGGTACTCGCATTCCACATCACCACTATACCAATTACTCCAAAAAGTACTCCTAACCCTTAAAGCTGTGCTTTAAACTACTGTCAACCCTAGTTCTCTACAAGTCTAATCTAATTATTAGTCTTAAGCTTGAAGACTTACCGTATTCTCTCTAATAGTAGTGCACCCAAAGCTTTGCCTAAATTCCTCGAAATCTCGAGAACCGCTTATCAGAACCTATTGATGTGGGGTCGGAAAATGTAGCTGACGATGAGATCTTGCGGAGGATTTGAGTATTGAGCTTCTGGGAGAACTTTGAAAGCCGTAAAGTAGGCATCAACTCGGCTTGCTGGGGTGCACTACTATACTTCACTTTCCACTTCATTGTCGCAATTGTCGGCCAGGCCCAGGCTAGGGTCGAGAACAAGTCCAGAATTAGGCCAGGCTAACCCTTGTGGGGGATTAGAGTGTTGAGCTTCTGTGAAAACTTTGAAAGCGGTAAAATAGTCATCAACTCGGCTCGCTGGGGTGCACTACTATTAGAGAAAATACGGTAAACATTAGACTATTAGATTGGCTCACTGTTAATGCCGTTCTTTTCACTTTTATAAATTTCTTGGCTTAGTGATAAGGCAACTATACTGTTATGCTATGCACTATTATGCTATCCATGCTGTATACCATTCGAAAGCTGAAAATCTCCTCTACAATCTGGTAGAAAACGATTTTTGATTTCATAATATTTATTGAATATTCAGCGAATGCTTCTCTAAAGCCCAGGTGTCAAAAATCACAAAAAAAATTTTTGAGTGTTTTCGCAAGTTTTCACTTACTTAAGTCCATCTGAAGAGTGGAAAAACGAGTCCGTTGTGGTGTAATGGTTAGCATAGTTGCCCGGTAAGCGAAAGGTCGAGGGTTCGAGCCCCGATGGCGCACAATTTTTTCATCTTTTTTCCAACTACTTTGTCGCATCTTAAATTTCTAGAAATAAAGCCCTATTGTCTGGAATTATTGTATTTGATTATAGTTATTAATACTTTATCTACTGGTAAGCTTTCAAGAAAGATACTCAATTCAATCGGTGGGAAATTTGAGCTAAAATCGTTCCCTCAACAATTCTTAATCTAACCATCTTTAGCACAGTAAATCTTTTTGCATATTTAGTGGGTTGAAAATCTATTTCTACCAGAATGTAGAGGAGATTTAAAGCTTTCGAATGGTACATAAGAATCATCGATATCTTATTCCTAAGCTGAGAAATTGACAAAACTAAAAACACGATCTAAACAGTGCGGTGACTAGATTGAAACAAGCTTTTTTTAAGCATCGAAAAGCTTGTTTTCAATAAAATTAATGTAAAAGTTTAAATTTTGTGTAAGATTCGATTACTTAAAGCCCAAAAACTACTAGTTTTTAAAGTAATCAACAAGTAAAGTTGAAACCGAATTTTGTTTTTTAAAAATAAGTCTCAAATGACTAATTTTGTGTGTACTTTTGTCAAAACGTTACTATTTTTCAGTAAATTTAAAAAATTCGTTAAACCTGTTGCATCATGGCCATGTTGAACTGCGGAGCTGTAAAATTGTTCGCAAGATTGTTGGCAAGATTGTTGGCAAGGTTGTTGGCGATCGGCGGCGGGTAATTCACCGCTCCTCCTCCCGCCATCACATTTCCCATTGGCGGTCGTTGCGTTTGTCCACCGCCCATTGGGTTGAACATTTTCAAGCTATAATAATAATTTTATAAAATTTTGAAAACAATTTAACTATTATAAATGATCAAGTAATGAAAAGTGGAATTTTTGAAGCCACTTGTCGGCAACGAGCAAATCGGCAACAAGCGACAACGCAAGAATACAATGAACGGCATTTTCTCGACACAACCCTTATTTTTCTTGAAAATTAGGGGGTGGGACAAATGCGACCTTTTTTTTGCTGGAAAAGGCCTTAGGAAAGGTCGTAGAGCTTCGAAAATGTTTCCATAGAAGGGAATCTTATGCGTAGATTCCGAATTTCGACAAATCAGACCTCGCTGACACGTCAAATTTGGGCTAAAAGGCAAAAACTACGCAACTTAACGCTTTTCCGCAGTTTTTGCCTTTTAGCCCAAATTTGACGTGTCAGCGAGGTCTGATTTGTCGAAATTCGGAATCTACGCATAAGATTCCCTTATATGGAAATATTTCCGAAGCTCTACGACCTTTCCTAAGGCCTTTTCCAGCAAAAAAAAGGTCGCATTTGTCCCACCCCCGAAAATTAAAGAAAAAGGAAAATTGGGAAAGAAAGTCATTATTAAATAGCACAAAAATATTTGATAAACAGAGCTTTAAAGCTGATTTGTTATATTGAAACACAGATCTTTTCAGAAAGCTTAAGAATTAGCCTAAGGAATTACCCTAAAGTCGCGAGTATAAGTTCTGTTTGGTTTTCGCATGCAAATTGACGGCTGTCTCCGGTGCGGATGAAGAGGCCAGGGAGGGATCCATAACGGACGGACGGACGCGCCGAGCCACGCCCGGATCAACAATTCTAACGATTCAACAATTCCAGTCTTATGGATCCCTCCCTGGCCTCTTCATGTGTCGAGGGTTCGAACCCCGCTGCAGCATAACTTTTTTGCTTTTTAAGAACAATAATAGAAGCAAATTTATTGAGGGTTATAGCAATTTTATGCTGTTATTTGTTGCTCCGGGCGTGGCTCGGCGCGTCCGCCCTGCTCCTCTCCGGTGCTCAGTCTTATGGATGCTTTCCAGCCCTGGCCTAAGCCCTGGCCTCTTCATCCGGCCAAAGTCCACGTCGACGGTCGAAAGAGATGCTTTCCAGCGTCTTCTTCAACACTATCTTCTGGATGTATCCATGCACATAACAATGGTGATAGGCTGTCACAAACAATGGTGATAGGCTGTCACCCTCTAGTATCCCGCGCTCCAAGAACAATAATAAAAGTTTATATAACAATAAAAATGTATAAAAACCCAACAAAAAGAAATTCAAAGCAATTAAAGCGAATGTAAATGAAGGCAGAACTTATACTCGAGACTTTAGGGTAAATCAAAACGAAATTCATGAAAAGATTAGCAATAAAATAGTGTTAAATTTGAAAATTTATAGTTTAAAAAGCTATGAACATTTAAAATTTGAAGGGCTTTTGAAGAAATATACAAGAATTTTGAATTTGAAGAAGAACTTGAAGAAGAATTTCAGAATTTCCCTTTAAGTCTCTTCATTGAAGCTCTGCTTTACTTGAGCTATCAGCTTAATGCTTATTTGAAAGGCAATAAATATTCTACAATAAAATTTACTTGCTTTACTTGTTATTTGATAAAAAAAATTGATTTCATACTTGTTAAAAAGCCAGAAATGAATCACTTTAAAAGTTTTATGTTCAAGCAGCAATTTCTCAACTTTTTTTGGCATCTGCCAGCTAATTGATTCAATTAATTGAAGTTATGCCAGCTGCTAGCTGCTTTCAAGTTATGTTTTCAATAGCTAGAATAGATGAGAGAAAGGCCAGGAGCCTTTGGCAACCAGAAAGGCCAAGAGGCCCAGCTCTGACACCAGAAAGGCCAAGAGGCCCTGCTCTGACACCAGAAAGGCCAAGAGGCCCAGCTCTGACACCAGAAAGGCCAAGAGGCCCAGCTCTGACACCAGAAAGGCCAAGAGGCCCAGCTCTGACACCAGAAAGGCCAAGAGGCCCAGCTCTGACACCAGAAAGGCCAAGAGGCCCAGCTCTGACACCAGAAAGGCCAAGAGGCCCAGCTCTGACACCAGAAAGGCCAAGAGGCCCAGCTCTGACACCAGAAAGGCCAAGAGGCCCAGCTCTGACACCAGAAAGGCCAAGAGGCCCAGCTCTGACACCAGAAAGGCCAAGAGGCCCTGCTCTGACACCAGAAAGGCCAAGAGGCCCAGCTCTGACACCAGAAAGGCCAAGAGGCCCAGCTCTGACACCAGAAAGGCCAAGAGGCCCAGCTCTGACACCAGAAAGGCCAAGAGGCCCTGCTCTGACACCAGAAAGGCCAAGAGGCCCAGCTCTGACACCAGAAAGGCCAAGAGGCCCAGCTCTGACAAATAAAAAAATCAACTTAACTGGGAAACTTGTAGAAATAGTATTCACTTGGAATATTCAACTCTTTTAGACTCAGGTTTAAAGTTATTCATTTATTTGAAACAAGCAATTTTAAAAGGAAAGAAGAAATGTTTTTGAAAAAAGTTTTGATTTTTTTGTTTTGTATTGTGTTTTGTATGTTTTTGAAAAAAATTTTGCTCCCGGTGAGGCTCGAACTCACGGCCTTCAGATTATGAGACTGACGCGCTGCCTACTGCGCTACGGAAGCGATGTGTTGTGGAAAGAGAAAAGGGTTCAAGGGCCAAGCGAGCCGGGATTCATCTTATCACACTAATTGTAAGTTGACAGTTGTTTCTGGGAAACAGATCTATATTATTTTAAGAATTCAAAGAAAAACGAATATGCAATTTGTAAAAAAAAATGAAACTTTATCTTGCCTTTAAGCAATTCGACTCAAATTCTTCTTCTTAACCGACTTTAATCCCAAAATTTGTATTGTATAACTTGAGCAACAAAATTTGAGCACTTATACATTAGCAGATTGATTCATTTGCAGAACTGGCTTTTTAAAGGTTTTTAAAGGCTCAAATCTGGCTTTTTAAAGGCTTTTAAAGGCTTTTTCAAGAATTTAAAGGCTTTTTAAAGGCTTTTAAAGGCTTTTTAAAGTCTTTAAAGGCTTTAAAGTTTATTGATTAAATGGAAAAATGGATTTAGATTTAGATTTAGATTTGGATTTAGATATTACTTGCTGAGACTCGAGATTTGTTCATATTGATCTCAATTTTAGCCCAATTTTGAATCCCCGAATTTGTATTGCCCTTGAAATTCTGCAGTGCCTTGTTTGCTCTTGTTTATGCGTGATCGATTTTACGGGTATTCAAATGAGTAGAGGATTTTCACTTGTTTCCCATTTGCGAAAAGAGAGCAGTGACCTTGGGATTCACGAATAGGGTTAGCTCTAAGGGATTTCTGAGGTGGAAAGGTGTACGTTGGAAATCACATAGATGAAAGGAACCTAATGACCCAATAGACCTAATAGACTTAATATTCTGGACCTAATAGATTTAATATTCTGGACCTAATAGACCTAATATTCTGGACATAATAGACCTAATATTGTGGACCTAATAGACCTAATATTCTGGACCTAATGGACCTAATATTCTGGACCTAATATTGTGGACCTAATAGACCTAATATTCTGGACCTAATGGACCTAATATTCTGGACATAATAGACCTAATAGTAAAGCTTTAAGGGTTGGGAGTACTTTTTGGAGTAATTGGGGTATTATATGGAATGCGAGTACATTCCAATATCTCAACCATTTCCTTCCTTTCTCCAACTTCCCAATCCACCACTTTTCCCACCTCCACCCCTCTATCACTGGATCGGATCTCGTCCCGGCTGTCACTAATCCGCCGATCTTTCTTTTATCTCTTTCTTCACATTCATCCCCAACCGTGTGTGGAATCATTTTACTGTTTCCCCAATTTCTTGTCTCACCTGAGCATTCATCATTCTTCTATTCGCCCCTTATCAATACACTTTATTTAGGGCCTTTTATGAAGTGATCTGCAGTTGATTTTATTAGTTTTGATTAAAGTTTTAAAAGATTTATTTTATTGAAAGGTTTAACGTTGGGGAAAATCTGATTTTTCTTTTCCTGAGTCATCGATATTTCTTTTATTTTATCGTTGAGGGAAGCACCACAAAAAGAGGCCCTTTATACCGGGGTGGTTTGCCAGATAGCGAGCGATTACGCAATTAAAAAGAATATCTCGCCACTCATTTACACAGTGATTTCTCTTTTGCTTTGTAGATAATACAAAATGAAGATATTCAGCTGTAAATTCGTACCCAGGGGTTTTCGGGGTCGCTGAATCGATTGGCGCTATTCATTTAGTACAATCCTGTTAAAAAAGTCCTTCAAAGTAATATGATTGTTCAATTCACTTAACTTAAACCCATTCAGCTGTAAATCTGTACAAAAAGTAGCTCATTATAGTAAGGCAACTCATTATATTACGGATTTATGTCAAGAGGCACTCGTTCTCTTCTCCATTTTGTCCATTTGTTCCCCCATCTACCCATTTCCGATCGAGAGACAAGTTTGACTCTTTCCCCTTCCTCTCACTTCAACAATGCACAAACCATTTTCGCATTGAAATTCCTCGCAAAACTTTTCCCCTCTCAAAACATCGATTGACTCATGCAAAAGAGATGTTCGCTTTTGTGAAACTGGTTTTATTTTCAAACCTTTTCAAATCTTTTCAACTGTTTCCTTTTTTGAAATGATTTTTTGAATGAAATGAAATTTTTTATATTTTGTCGAGCTTTATAGTAATCATACTTTATTCATGATATAATAATCATAAAAAAAGTAAGACCAATGTATTGGGTTGGTGAATTGAAAACTGAAAATTGAAAAGCTTTGACTTTGAGTTTTGACTTTGAGTTTTGACTTTGAGTTTTGAGCTTTGAGCTTTGAGCTTTGGCTTTGAGCTTTGGCTTTGAGCTTTGGCTTTGAGCTTTGACTTTGAGCTTTGACTTTGAGCTTTGACTTTGAGCTTTGGCTTTGAGCTTTGACTTTGAGCTTTGACTTTGAGCTTTGGCTTTGAGCTTTGGCTTTGAGCTTTGGC